CTAGAGATCAGACAGCATTTGTTTGTGCTGGAGCTCGGGACTTATTCGACGATTTTGGCCAAGAGACAGTTAGTGGAGAGGAGCTTCCGCACCCTCTCACAGGCAGCAGAGAACCTTAGACCCTCAGCTCCACCTCGCATACCAGCAGCTATTGCGACTGTTCAACAGAACAAGAGGTCCAGGCCGGTGATCCAGGCTCCCCCTCAGGCTCCAGTGGCAGGACGTGGTAAAATCTGTCAGCATTGTGGTAAGGATCATGGGGACCGATCTTGCTACTACCTCAACAACACTTGTCACATATGTGGTAGTGTCCAACATTATGCGAGGGAGTGCCCAAAAAACCAGAATCAGGGCAGACCTCCTATCTAGGGCAGAGCTTACAATCTCACCCAAAAGGATATTGAAGCCAACCTGGATATGGTACAGGGTATGTGCACTATCTGTAACTATCTTACTCATGTTTTGATTAATACTGGTGCATCGCATTCATTTGTTTCACATATTTTTGCATCAAAATTTAATGTATTACTTGATAAACTCGATTCTATATTGTTTGTGTCTACTGTTGGGAGTATGACACTATTGGGAGAAATTGTCTACAGAGCTTGTGTCGTAAAGATAACATATAGAAATTTGAGTATAGACCTAATAGAATTAGACACGGGGGATTTTAATATAATTTTAGGAATGAATTGGCTAGCGGCGTATCACGCTACCGTAGATTATTTTAATAAGAAGGTTGTATTCAATCCTCCTAATGAGGAGCTATTGACAAATTAATAAAATCATTTAGTACTTATTCCTTCGTGATAAATTTTCTTATTCGTCAAGTACTTTAACCCTGCTGTTTTCTTTAACTAAGCAAACCCAAGAAAGAGATTTGTATTCAAGAAAGAGATTTGTATTCAAGAAATTCCGGTAGTCTGAGACTTTTCAGACGTGTTTCCAGATGAATTACCCGCATTGCCAGTGGACAGGGAAGTCGAATTCGCCATAGACCTCCAGCTAGGCATTTAGCCTATTTCGGTTGCTCCTTACCGCATGAGCCGTG